TGTTAAAATTGAGTACTTGGTTTGTTACGGTACAAATTGACATCAGTTCAGCATGTATCTAAAGGGTTAGAATTAATTAAGGGTTACTATTTATTCTAAAACCTGTTCACCAAATCTTAGTCCAATCGTGCGATTTACTGTACAATCAAATTTGATCTGCAGAGGTCACACTTTACAACTTGTCAAGGATCTTAACACAGATCTTCAAAGAGCCATCACATTTCCTTATTTTCTCTTGTACATAGAATTTACAGTGGCTTACACATACACAAAAGATGCAACATATTGCTGGACAGTAAGCCAAATAAATAATAACTTGGCCACTAAAAGTCATTAATTGTAATTTATTTGATGAAATACAAACATAAGTTTTTTTGTTTTGTTTTGTTTGCTTAGATGAAAAAAAAAAGTACTCACAATCCATTTCATCAATAGGAATTTGTCCAAAAATGTGAAGAAATGGTCGATACAAGACTCGTCGAAAAATCCAGTTAGGTCGAGGATCATATGGGAAAAGTAATGCTTGATTGGCAACTCCATAGGCCATGAGCCAAACACCAAGGAAGAAAAGGAAGAAGAAGACATCTTTCATCTGAAGGAAACAAAAATACAGCAGCAATAAAAACTGATGAAAGATGGAAAGACATAGTTTCTGAAATAAACACATGTATTTAAAATATCCTTGAATATCAAAAACAATAAACTGATTTATTTGTGCTAATGAGCTATTGACATTCTGTAAACACTCTTTAAGATATAAATTTCTTGAAAGAATTCATATTAGTAGCTGCCGTTAATGCCAGAGTTTAAAACTAAAACCATTTTATGTCCTCCAGATTATTTGTCTTAAAGAAAATCCATCCATTATCTTCCGCTTGTTCCGAAGTCTGGTCACAGGGGCAGCAGCTTGAGCAGGGAGGTCCTGACATCTCTCTCCACAGCCACCTCTTCCAGCTCTTCTGGGAGGACTCCAAGGTGTTCCCAGGTCAACAGAGAGACATAGTATCTCCAGCGTGTCCTGGGTCTTCCCCAGGTCCTCCTCCAAGCTAGTGTGGGTCTACTTTTAGCCCCCCGACTTGGTGCCTGTGCGTTGGAGTTTTCCCCAGTAGATAAGAGGGTGGCTTCCCTGGGCCTTTGGGTGGGGGGACGGGCCCTGACTGTAGTTTGTGCCTACGCTCCAAACGGCAGTTCAGAGTATTTGTCGTTCTTGGTGTCCTTGGCGGGGGTGCTGGAAAGCGTGCCAGCTGGGGACAACTTTATTCTGACGGGGGACTTCAATGCCCACATGTGTAACACCAGTGTGTCCTGGAGGGGTGTGGCTGGGAGGAACGACCTCTGTGATCTGAAATTGAGTAATGTTCTGTTGTTGGACTTCTTTGCTAGTCATAGTTTGTCCATCACAAACACCATGTTCGAACATAAAGGTGTCCATAAGTGAACTTGGCACCAGGATGCCATAAGTCATAGATCGATGATTTACTTTGTTGACGTGTCATCTGATTTGCGGTTGTTTGTTTTGAACACTCAGGTGAAGAGAGGAACTGAACTGTCAACTGATCACCACCTGGTACTAGTGAGTTGGATTGGATGCCATCTTGACTATCAGTTGCTATCTCTTCCACCATCATTTGCTAGGGTAATAGCACCAGAGCAAGTGACTTATAAAAGCTCAACAAGCTCATAAAGAAGGCTGGATCAGTTCTGGGGACGCCTCTAGAACCTTTGGAGATGATTGTACAAAGAAGGATTCTTCATAAAATGAAGAACATTATAGACAACCCTCAGCATCCTCTTCATCAGACTGTCATACAACAACAGTGTCTTCTGTCAGAGGCTTCTTCAGATCCATTGTAAGACAGACCGCTACAAGAGATCCTTCCTGCCCGCAGCCATCAGCATCTAGAACAACTCTTTAATGAAACCAGGATGATGAGTTACAACAACATTTAATTTCCCTCTGGGATTAATAAAGTATTTTTTAATTGAATTTGAAGTCCTTGATTACTGTGTGCTGGGAATGACTCTGAGCTCCTATCACACATTTCAGCTCAATATCTACATATTTCGTTGAGTTATATCCATTTTTGTGTTTGTTAAGGTTGCCTAACAGAGTGTCAGGGTTTTTTCGTGGCAGATCAGGACAGAAGAACCCAGTTGCGCAGGCAGGACTCAGGAGGCAAATGTATAAAATAAAAATACTTTTAATAATAATAATAATAAATCAAAAAGGCTGACATGGCAGCAAAACTTACATGGCCTCAAGAAACACGATCAACTCAGGCAGGACAAGACAGGACATACCTAACGACGAACCGACAATGACAGAACTGACAGACAGACTTTATATACACACAACCAGGACATGACACAGGTGACGATAATCAGAACAATCAATTCAGACACAAGGGAGAACAGACAGGGGGAAGGCCCACTAGATGGTGCCATCCTGACACAGAGGCAGCAATCAAATTTGATTGACTTTAAAGAGTAACCAATTGATGATATACTAACACAAACACTTGACTTTTTTTCTTCCCAAAATCAAAATTTTAGTTTATATTTTTGCATGCAAACATTTTTCACAACACAAGTGTATCAACTTCAAGATCACATTTTAATTAGCATTCATATAGGACCAGGACAAACTTTTTCTCTAAAGAATATGTACAAAATTATCATTTCACTTCAGCTATATCACTTTAAGAAACCAGCGGTTTTGAATGCAACATGGACGGCTTTGAGGAGCAGATTGCTGAGACAGTCAGAAAATATTCAACTGTTTGACTTTCCAAGACACACACATAAAAATTATTAAATGGCCAAAAACTCCTGGACGGGGATAGCACAGACATTGTGCATGGAAAGCACAGCAGCTCTGTCTGCTGAAAAGTGTGGCACTCTCTTCATGACAGATTTGTGGCCAAACAGTGGATGCAGGGATGGAGTGGAGACCCTGGCGGTAAGAAACTTGTGACATATACTGCACTGAGATGGGTTTCTCAGGAGCTCTGCCTTGTGTGTCTTGTGGACTAGAGGTTGTTTCATTCTACATCCGAAGCTGAATAGTCAGTTTTTGGTCATGTGGTTGCTGGACATTTGTCTTTGTACACACCTTTCATATTCCACTAGACCATATGTGTCAAACTCAAGGCCCGGGGACCGAATGTGGCCCTCGTTGACATCTTATCTGGCCCCCAAGATGTTATTTTAGATGTAAAATACTTTTATCACTGTAATTTTTTTCAGAAATCTTTGATTATGATGTCAAAAATGCAACAGAGAATGTCAAATGAGACCAATCAAACTCTTGTTGGGGAACGTGCAACCAAGAAACGATGTTGGGTATCTAACTTGAGTTAATGTAGATTCTGAAACCGGTCCTTAGTTTGAAAACGGTTTTAATTTTGGCCCCCGTTTGTAAGTGAGTTTGACACCCCTGCACTAGACACACGGCACAGAGCTCCTGGGAAACCCCTCCCACTGCAGTATATGTCATGGCACTGTTTTTTTCTCGCAAGGGAAGTCCACTGTTTGGCCACAAATACAGTATATCACAGAAACAGAGCCCCACTTTTTTTGACAGCGCCGTCAGACAACTGTTCCTTAAATCTGTCCATGTTGTTTGCACACACAACAGCCAGCTTCTGGAAGCGGAATTGTTAAGTGCAATTACAGCATTCCTGTTGGAGTAGTTTTCTGCATAAACAAGCACGCCTACAAACGTCTGACAAATCACACAACACTTAGAGCATACTCCTGTGAGAAATAATTTGGCTCAGGCCTTTTATAGAAAAGGGTCAGACGAAGCTACTACCAGAACAAAATGACGCGATTTTCATCAGCTTCATATGGTGTATGCAGGACCCTTACAAAAGCAGTGTCATAACCAAACGTCCACAACCATATGACTGTGAGTGGACTAATCAGCTTTGGATGTAGTATGAAATGATCTTCACTCATCGAGGTGGCTGATGTTTCTGTTCCACACTGGATCTGACCTTTCAGGTTGTTTTGTTAGTTCTGTGTTCTTACCATTTTTCCAACAATGATGATTTTGGGTCCAAGCTGTTTGTGGACGGCAAAGATGTGGATCAGGCGCAGAGTAAAAACCATGTAATCAATGGCCATAACAGCACGCCCAAATTGATATGACCAGGAGAACATTCTGGAAGAGAACAACAATCAATTAATGATGATACTTCCTGAGTATAAGGAGACATACTGTACATCGAGGGAAATATCTGAGCTCTAGAGAGGGAGGCAGGAGGCAGCAGGAGGAGGTCCAGTACAGTCAGTCTGTAGAGCGTTTAAAACATGAGGATTATGACGGTTTGACAAAATAATACCAGAAAAGTGTTTTCTTTTTATTGTGTTGTCATACATACAGTCATCCCTCGCTATATCGTGGTTCACTTATTGCGCCTTCACTGTATTGCGTTTTTTTAAGATATCTAATTCTGTATCGCAGTTTTCGCTATATTGCAGGATTTTGCAGTCCATACTGTACTGTACTGTTTGCGCAAGTGGAGGAGGAAGCCACCTCTCATCTCCTCTGCCCCGCGTGTGAGCTCTCCTGTTACGCCGCATGAACAATCCTATGTTTATCTTATCATATATCATCCATCCATCCATCCATCCATCCATTATATTTTACCCACTTCTTCCATTTTCGATCATGGGGGGCCGCCGGTGCCCATGTCCAACAATCACTGTGAGAGGGGCGGGGTACACCCTGGACAGGTCGCAAGTCCATCACAGGGCCATCATCATTTCATATATCATTTGATTATATATCATAGATCGTATATCTTATATTTTATTGACTTTCCCCCTATATAAACTACAGCTGGACCAGTTATTCTGTGTATGTCTGTATTGCTTTCCTTTTCTCTCTAGCCCTAGTCAATGGAAGCAGATGGGTGCCTATCCTGAGCCTAGTTCTGCTGGAGCTTTCTTCCTGTTAAATGGGAGTTTTTTCCTTTTTCACTATTGCCAGGGTGCTGCTCAACAAAGTTTTAACCCACTTTGCTGGCCTCCTTAGAACATTTTGAATGTTTATTTTATTTTTTTTAAACAACGTGTTTTTATTTACTTTTTTTATTTTTAAACAAACAACAACCAAGAACATAGAACAACCCCCCGACCCCTTCCATCCCACTCCGGATCAGTCAAACATACGCAAACATATTAAACAGGCACTGACATACTTTCCACATAAAAGGCTGCCACATGTCCCAAAATCTTTTGACAGACCCCATCAGAGTGTATCTTATTTTTTCCTAAATGGATATGATACATTACCTCCCTTACCCAATGTACATATGCTGGCAGGTGTGGGTCCTTCCAGTTGCACAGAATTAGCCTCCTGGCCAGAAGAGAACCAAAGGCAATCACATCCCTCTCGCATTTGTTGAGGGACGTGCCGACATCAACCATCCCGAACAATGAGATGAGTGGTGACGGGTGTACAGTTTTGCCACATATTTCAGAGAAGGTGTCAAAAATAAATTGCCAAAATGTCTGCAGTTTGGGACAGGTCCAGAATGTATGCAAGAGTGTAGCTGGAGTTTGTTTGCAACGATTGCAAGTGGGTTCCATGTTGGCTTTGATCTTGAACAACTTGTCTTTGGACCAGTGCAGCCGGTGACCACCTTGAATTGAATTACAGCATGTCTCAGGCAGATTGAAGATGAGTAAAAGTTCTTAATAATCCTTCTCCAGATTGAGTCTGATATGGGTTCCGCCAAGTCTGCTTCCCATTTCAGTTTAAGGGAGTCCAAACTGGACTCATGGTATGAACTGAGCAGTGCATAAATTTTGCTAAGGGCTCCAATAGTATTAGACGTGCATTCAAAAATCTTAGCCACAAAATGTTTAGAAGGGTACAAAGGAAAAGAAAATTATATCTCACAAAATCTCTTAGCTGCAGATATCTAAAAACATATGACTTGTGAATATTAAACTTCTGTACCAGCTGTTCAAAAGAGGCAAATCTACTGTCAACAAAGAGATCACACAGTGAATGCACTCCCTTCAACACCCAGGTGTCAAAAGCTGTATCAGCTACTGAGGGAGTAAACATGATTATTTGACACAGGTCCCAAAAAACAGTAGGCCTGTAGCATTAAATGCCCTCCTGAACTGATTCCAAATCTTAACCGCCCATATCACAATTGGGTTAGAAGTGTAGGTTGATACTGTAGTGAACTAGACCTCTGACCTCAATCTGTCTCTGAAGACCTTCAGGGGACAGGAACTGTTATTTCATTTATTTGAATCCAGAAATACAAATTATCTCATCAAGAGACTATTTAATTGTATCCTGAATTAATCAATTGAAAGAACACTCTTCTTTTTTATATTATCATTACTATTTTACAATATCTTGATAATCAAAAGTGTGTTTAGTTCATACCATTTCTAACTTTGAAGAAACCACTCATTTAAATCAACTGGGAAACAGTGTTAATGATTTTTAAACCTCATAAGACTTAGATCATACAAGTTAAATGTCTATTTACAAAGTAATTATGCATTTTATTCTTCTGTCTGAATGAGGAGTGGATTTATTGTCGGTCAAAAGTCAGAGTACAAGTTATGAGAACGAAGTGCCTTGTTTTTAAAACTCTCAGACAGTAAGTAAGAAACTGGCACCTGCAAAGTCTGTCATTTCTTCAAAATATTTTCCCGTCTGTTCTAACCGTTCTTAAAACATTTCTGCTGTCTGTTGACTTCTAATAACACTCTGACATCATTAAAACTCCACCCCTGCTGGTTGTGTCAACCAATCAGGAAGTACCAAGTGATAGGAAGTGGATACACTTTAAAAGTTAACACTTCTTGGAACTATTCAGTCTTCCTAGTCTTCCTGGAACTTTAAGTCTTACAAGTCTTACTAGAAGACTCAGTCTGATGGCGAGTCGTACAGGAACTTTCAGTTCTTACTGAAAGTCTGTTTGGAGTTCTGGCTGGGACTGCAGTCTTGCTGGAGTCTTACAGCTGAACTAAATAGCTGATGAATTGGACCATGTGCCAAGGGTCCCTCCATTTCAGCGGAGTCACAGCCTGCCTTGCTGTGAACTCATCCGGGCGTAATGCCCTACAACTTCTAATGAAGATTCCTTCTAAGGAAGCTTATTCTGTTGAATGGAGTACTTCGTCACGACTTCTGACGATGCCCAGCCACTCTGACCGGAGACGCTGAAAGAAGCGTGAAATGGACCTCTGTACCGGAGCTGATTTATCTTCTGCCAAGGTAACAAGTCGTCACACGCTGAGTGTACCGAGGGCTGAGCTGGGGTCGAAAGAAGGGTGCCATTTCTGGTCAACACATCTTACCTTCATCCATCTAAACCTCCTCTTTAAATCTTTAAACTTCTTTACTCCTTCTCTTTAAACTTCTATTCGCCAGTAAATCAAGTTAAGTGCCTTCAGAGATTAATCATTCTCCATCAGTAATCTTCTGTTGTCTTGTTATTTGAACTTGCTAAGTTTATTAATCAGAAACAGATCCGCAAATCAAGTGTACATGTTGTGATGTTAAATTTTGATTCTTTTAAATAAATGACCGCATTTATTCTGATGGGTCAAAGATAAATGGCGTCTCATGTCACTAATTATACACTCCATTCTCAAGTTATCTTGGTCACATGGCAGAAATTTAACTCGAAAAAGAAAGAATCCGTTGTTAATTAAACAATTAATATTCTTTGTGCTTGAACTAGCTTTAAGAATAATTAATTAGTAGTGTGTCCACAGTTCAGCTGTCCCAACATCACTACAATACTGATTGTTTAAAGGGCAGCTGAGAGCAGAGCAATGCAGAAAGAGAGCTGGATCTAATTGAGGCCCTTTCCAAGGCCACCCAACTAGGAAAAGGGGTGTCCTTACCCAACCAAAATAGAAGAGCTCTGACATTAGCTGCCCAATAATAGTGCATGAAGTTAGGAAGTGACATACCTCCAAGTCTACGAGGCAGATGCAAGACCCTTCTGGCATTTTGTAGACGCTTTTTATTCCAAATAATGCATATATCTGGCTGTTCAGATTGGTAAAGAAGGATTTAGTAAACAAGATTGACAGATTCTGAAACAGGTATAGGAATTTAGGTAGGATATTCATTTTTAGAGTTTATCCTGCCCCCTAGAGTGTGAGGCAGGGATTGCCATCTAGTGATGTCCTGTTTAAGGGTCGCCATGAGAGGTACTGTAGATAATTGGTTTTATAGAGGCTCTTATGGTCTCGAGTTACCCAGATCCCAGGGTACTGAAATTTTTAAAACACATTTTAAAGGGAACAGTATCCAAGATTTTCTTGGAGGTCACAGGCACCAGCCCGCTCTTTTGAAGGTTAACCTTATAGCCAGATATTTTCCTAAAATTTTTTAAGCTAAGTTAGTAATTCAGGGATACTGGTAAGGGGGTCTGATATATACAAATGCATGTCATCCGTATATAAAGAAACTTTGTGCTCTGTACCTAGTCGATTTGTCAACTCTGACATCATGTGCGCCACAGAATGATAGCACTGACGTGAGCTCCGCTTCGACTCGATCTTTTTATGTTCCTGTTACTTTTGTTTTAACTTTTTTTGTGCCTACACTGCACATCCACGGTATGGGTATGACCGCGACACACTTGTGGAGTTTTCTGTGTCGCTGCCTTGCCATCATGCCATCCTGCCATCATGGTTCTGTCCTTCCAGCCTTGGGCTCAGGCCTGTCATGGCGGCCATCTCCATGATCCTCCATCTGCCTGCACAGACCGAACTCTACGTATTCATTTGGTTCCGTGGGTAAACCTTGGATGTTCTCTGTCTGCCAGACCCGGTTCTGGAGGGCAGTCTGGGAGGGCAGCTGCTGGGGTCCTTGTCATCATCATGCTGCTGATGAGACCTGCTGATAGGACCTGCTAACAAGACCTGCTAATGCTGCTAACAAGACCACGCCGCTAACCAAATCACACCGCTAACAGTACCATGGTGCCAATGGGACCATGTTGAGAAACCTCACTGCTAATCAAACACACTGCTAACAGTATTATGCTGCTAAGTGGACCATGTTGCTAATGCCCCTTTTCCATTAGTACCTTTAGTACCAGTACAGCACGGTTCAACTCAGCTCAGCATGGTATGAGATGTGTTTCCATTATACTTTCAGTAATGCTTATAGTGGGTGGGGTTCAGAGTTCAAAAATTGACGTCATGCGCCTTACCAGCTGGTGGAGGTAAATGCTGGTGGTAAGACCCTGAAACAGGTTTCAGTACAGGAAGATAATTTATTTTGAAGTTTCGGGTCATTTAAAAAGAATACAGATTATTAAAATGATCAAATTACACTATGTATATATATATATATATATATATATATGTATACATACACACGCATTTTTTGTAAATTTTGTCTACATCATACAGTGTACTTCTACCAAAGGTTAAAGTACATTTTTCTGACCGAGCGCTGCACATTTTAATGTATAACTTGCACATTTTATTCAGTCTCACAACAAGATCCAGGACAAAGATACAGGAATTTGTGTAAAAAGAAAAATTACCTGCAGCCCAGACCCAAGAGGAACAGAAGAATAGCTGTGAGGTCACACTTGTTCCAAACATCTTGGATGTAGTTTTTCATTCCTTGTTGGACCAATAAACCGCTTACAAAGAAGGTCTGTGACTGTACAACAGAAGAGAAATGTTTAGCAAGAACATTTGTTTGTCCAAATTCAGCATGCACAGTTAGGAACAACGTTAAACATAAACATGTAAATTAAACAGGCAGTCCAGTCACTGAGAGATGTAGTTTAGGAGATGACCGTTTTTCTGGTCTGGAAGTGAACTGGCAATAAAGTAAACTTTGATGTTTTTGGAGCAAGATATTCAAGTGGGTAGGAGTTATACTGTGTAGAAGAACAGAGGGAGATTTTTTTGGTTCTTGGGACTGTGCAAAGTGACTGATCCTGGTGAAATAGGTTGCCACATCAAAATCCAAAATGGCTACTGCATGAATTTTGATGTGGCAACCTATTTCAATACGGACTTTACTTACCACTAAATGCAGCCACACACCAAAATGTAAGTTGGCATGTTGCTTATTTTTCAAGTTATCCTACTCATAAGGTTTACAAATAAACATATATGGTGGCAGCCACCTTGGATTTTGAACTGGTAACCCAATTTTCGATAGGAACCAAATTGCAAATTGGCACTATTTTTCCCCCAAGTCATCATGTTCACAACATGCAGGGATGGATGAATTGATGGAGGATATTCTATATTTCCCCTCTTCACTCCGTGGTGGTGGGGAAAAAAAAGTCATCTTGATAACTGATAACCAAAAGATAGTGATACATGTGACAAGTAAGCAGTTATTGTTAGTTTGTTTATCCAGGTATTAAAACCACCAACCTGTCGAATCTCCTCACACACTAAGGTGAAAACCCAAATGTAAAGCACAATCTCTATCCAGGATGGGCCATCAGGGGGCGGGGGCTTGAAGTCCACCAACAGAACATAGGCAAACAGGCAAAGGAAGAGGAAGTACATCAGCACGTTTCCCAGGAACGAGGTGACGGGCGCAAACCAGAACTGCCTCCATCTCGACACAATTAATGGGCTTTTTGATGTGGTTGGCAATGAGACTGGTTCTAAAAGAAGAAAGAGTCAAACCACCAGAACTGAGTAAAAGCTGTTATCAGCCGGTCACACAAAGACAGTTTACAACAGAACCCCCACCCCTATATATTATCACCATCATCTTTAGATTGTACAGTTTATTATAGTATATATAGTGACACAAATAGTATACACCCATGACAGCAAGCCATAAACACTTGTTTCCAGCACTGTTGGTGAAGCTTAGATCACTTCCAAGAAATGTTACTTTTTTGAATATTCATCTTAAACAATAAAGGCACATTTACACTATAGGACACAGAATCCTGCTGATAATATGGTTAAGCCTGCTGCCTCACTGTAAAAAGGTCACTGGTTCTCAGTGGTGGAGAAAGTACTCAAACACTGTACTTAAGTAAAAGTAAAAATAAACAGACAAAAATGTACTCTAGTAAAAGTAGAAGTACCACATTAACATTTTTACTTAAGTAAAAGTAAATAAGTACTTGCTTTTAAAATACTTAAAGTATCAAAAGTAAAAGTACTTGCTGAATGTATTACATAATGCAATGGTCTACATATCTTTAAGTGTGACTACCGTATGTATATTTTCTGTAATACATTAATAGTGTTGTGTCATTTTAATGAACAATGCTGCAGATAATACATGTTTTATTGTGTTTACTCTGTGACACAGTTCACACTTGGACTTGTGATTCTGTGCATCAGAATTTCAGGGATGACATGCAGAGTTAAATGCCATTGATCAAAATAAGAAAGAGGAATGATGTTACCTTTGAAAGTTTTTATTTAACACAAAGCAAAAACAATGTATCATTTAACTGCAGTAAACACATTTAAGTAAAAGTTGTCTGCCTGAACAAAATGGGCATTACACACAACTAACAAAGGAATAGGCTCTGAGCATTTCCACTGATATTTCAACTCCAGTTTGTCATCAACTCTAGTTAAAAAACTGTCTATTCAACCTTGTAATGGGTCGTATTGATCGATATTTTAACTTCCTGACACCATTTTTAAAACTTGGACCTGAGTGTCGAGCCATTTCGAGACATCTCTTGTCTCCTAACATCCATGAACTGACACATTTTAATATTGCAGCAAGCATTTCTTGTTCAAGTTCAGAAGAAGTTGGTTTTCAAAGATTTTTGAGTCCAGTCTGGCTCTTTTGGGAGAGAGAAGCTGTCCTGTTGTACTGAGTAGTCTTTCAATAATCTTTCAATAAGGCCATGGGTGGAGCGTATCTTCTGGCTGACTCACTTGCGGTGGAATACATTTTGGGTGTGTTAGCGGTGCTGCGGGTGCACCCAGCTCAGTGACATATATACTAGAATATATGTCATTGGCCCAGCTCTTCTTGAAGGTGGGCCTAACGTTACCTGCCCACTTTGCAGTGATTCAATGGACCAGCTCTCCTCTCACCATTGGTTACTTTCAAAGTAACAAACAAATCAAAAAGCTGCAACATGAATGTAACTTGTAATGCAATGCATTATAGAAATGTAGTGTAGTAGAAAGTACAGATTATTGATGTAAAACGTAGTGGAGTAAAAGTATAAAGTACCCACATTTAACTCTACTTAAGTAAAGTACAGATACATGAAAAATGTACTTTAGTACAGTAACAAAGTATTTGTACTTAGTTACATCCCACCACTGCTGGTTCTTCTCCTAGCCTTTCTGGGTGGAATTTGCAAGTTCTCTCCATGTATGTGTGGGTTTTCTCCGGGTACTCCAGTTTCCTCCCACAAACCAAAAACATGCATGTTAGACTGACTGGTAACTCTAAATTGTCTCTAGGTGAGAGAGAGAGAGTGAATTTTGTTTGTCTCTTTTGTCTCTATGTGGCCTTGTGATGGACTAGAGATCTGTCCAGGGTGTCCCCTGCCTCTCGCACAGTGATGGCTGGACATGGGCACCGACGACCCCTATGACCCAAAATGGAATAAGCAGGTAAAGATAATGGATGGATGGATGGATGGATGAATGGAAGCATTTCCTTGAATAAACTCTCCAAACTGTTTTTCAAGAATGATTTTGTCTAGAACACTGGAAAAAATGCCACTAATACAATGATATGTTGTCACAGTTAAAACCTCAGTTTATAGAAGTGATGTGGACCCTTTAAAGTAAAGTATTACCCTCAATCACATACCAACATAGAACACAGATCCAAACCTACCCGGTACGTTTTCCTTAAGAGCTTTTAATTCTTCTGCATCTTCCTCACTGCAATTACAAACAACTATAAATTTCTGCTAAAAGTAGGAACAAAATGACCAAACATGATGATCTAATCCATTAAGTGATGCTTGTTTTTACTTTGGTATGATGTCAGACAATGAAAAGGCATCAATTCCCTCCACACTGTCACTGTCGATGTTTTTGGGGTGGTTTGCCAAAGAATTAACCGCCTCCTCTGGTTTTCTGTAATGTCAACACACATAATATGTCATAATTTTGGTTTCAGAGAATATTGGGACCAGTATTTACTAAAGCCAACTCTACAGTTGTGATCGGCACTCCTCACCACAGTTTCATACCCACACTAACAAGCAGATAGGAAAAAACCCACATGATTACAGAACAATAAGACAATACTGACCTGAAGTTGATCAGGTTTGTGTAGATGAGAGGGGGTAAGAAGAAGGAAAGGACCAGCTTCCAGACATCTGTAGTCCTCTTCATGTCCCCCCACCAGATTTGAGACAACAGAGACTACAGCAGAGAGAAGCAAAGAGGACATTTAGTTTCACTGCCTAAAGACACCTGAGTTTAATGTATAGAGCATGTTTTTAGTTGTTATTTTCAAACTGAAACAGATTTTTTTTTACATCATTCTTACTTTACTTCTTTACAATAGAATATATTTTTTCTAATAAGTTTGGCTTTTATTTGTTCTTTCATGCTTGAAAGAAAGATTATGTTAAACCATGATTGTAGGCAGAGGAACAAGATTACACAAGCAGTAAGTATCTTGATGTCTACAACCATTGAGCATAGGCGTTGCAACCATTAAATGTGAAGGGGACATGTCCCCCCCACATTAAAAAAAAAACGTTCATTTGGACAAACCCCCACACACACACACTTTTACTATAAAACATTAGTTCAGTCGGCGCAGTTTCTCTTTCTTCGTGAACGAATCCATTCCACTTGATTAATAGGAGAATACTCAAGCCACTAAAACTACACTCCAGGTTTTCCTGGTTACCGCCAACTCTGAGTCTCCTGCCTTGGCAGAAAATGCACACAGGTGGAGGAGACGGAGACACTTCTGTGTTGCTCGTTCGCTAGTTTAGCGAGCTTAGTGCGGGCAGTTGTTGACTGGGTGGGGGGGTGGGGTTGAACATAAACATATACATGGTTAGGAGGAGAGAAGTGGAGTACTACATCTGTAGCATCTTAGCTTAGCAGTAACCGTGACGCTGTAAGATGCCGCAGGTGTAAGAGACGCTGTGTGTTCAGGTGCATTAAAGTTGAAATGTCAAAACCTCGCACCTTATTGTCCTCAAGCTTCATGAGAAACATCATTTAGATGAGTAGTGTTGAACACAAGTAAAAAAGTCCAGTGGTGATGTTTTTTATTTCTCTATAAACACAAATAGTGCAGATCTGAGGCTCTGTATTAAAGTGTATTAAAGTTAAAATGTCTTTAAAACCCACAGTTGAATTTACACAAACTTGATGAGAAACATGCTTTAAATGTGTGGAATTAAAGGAAATCTAGGCGAAATGTTGCTTTTTTGTTCACTAGTGTACAAGTTTTAGCGCGCACACGCACTTGAGCACACACACACCTACACACATCATTGTGTCCCCCCCCACATTACGGATGCTTCTGACGCCCTTGCTACTGAGGAATATATGTAATGTACAGTATATATCCGTATCTGGTTCGTCCATCCATCCCTCCCTCCCTCCCTCCCTCCGTCCGTCCACCCATCATCTTCCACTTAATTCGAAGTCCGGTTGCAGGGGCAGCAGCTTGAGCAGGGTGGCCCAGATATCTCTTTCCACAGACACCTTTTCCAGCACTTCTGGGAAGTTTTCAAGGTGTTCCCAGGCAAAACAAGAGCCATAGTCTTTCCAGTGTGTCCTGGGTCTTCCCCGGGGTCTCTTCTTAGTCGGACATGCCCGAACACCTCCTTAGGAGGCGCCCAGGAATAATCCTTACCAGATGCCTGAACCACCTCAACTGGTTCCTTTTGACGTGGAGGAGCAGTGGTTCTATTCCATGTCTCTCCCAGATAATTGAACTTCTCACCTTATCTCTAAGAGAGAGTCGAACTACCGTGTGGAGGAAACTCATTTCAACTGCCTGTATTAGTGATCGCATTCTTTTAGTCAATACCCCAGGTTCATGACCATAGGTAAAGGTGAAAACGTAGACTGATGGTAAATAGCACAGTTCCCACTTCACCACAACCGACTGGCACAGAGTCCACAATACTGCAGACACTGCACCAATTTGTCTGTCAATCTCACGCCCCATTCTTCCCTCATTCATGAAAAAAAATCACGAGATACTAGAACTCCTCTACTTGAGGCAGAACCTCAGCCTCGACCAGAAGAGAGCAATCCACCCTTCCGGCCTCAGACTTGGAAGTGCTGACTCTCATCCCAGCCACTTCACACTCGGCTGCGAACCATTCATGTGAATGCTGAAGATCATCCGCAAATAGCAGAGAAGGAATCCTGAAGCTACCAAACCAGACTCCCTCCACACTCTGGCTGCACAGAGAAATTATGTCCATAAAAGTTATGAATCAAATCGGTGACCAAGGGCAATCCTGGTTGAGTCCAACTCCCACTCTGAAGGGGTCTGACTTACTAACGGAAATGTGAACCTAATTCTTACACCACTTGTATAGAGGCTGAACAGCCCATAGCAACGGGCCCCCAATCCCATACTCACGGAACACCCCCACAGTGTAACCCAAGGAACACAGTCAAAAGTCTGCTCTAAGTCCACAAAACACATGAAGACTGGATGGGCAAAGTCCCATGACCCCTCGATGACCCTAGTGTGGGCAAAGAGTTGATCCAGTGATCCATGGCCAGAAAGGAACACCCCTTTATTCCTCCTGGATCTGAGATTTGACCAACGATCGAACTTGCTTCTCCAGTACCCCTGAATAGACCTTACCAGGGAGGTTAAAGAGAAAGATGCTCCTATAACTGGAGCACACCATCCAATCCCCCTTTCTGAAGAGGAGAATCACCAGTTCATACTACAAATCCAGTGGCACTGCCCCTTATATCCACTAGGGGTTGAACGACTACATAATTTTTAAACTCGCCATTAACATAATAAAACTCGAGTAGAACTTGAGTACTTGATGACATCATAGGATCTAAAGATACAAAAATAAATAAATAAATAAAACCGCAAAAAAGGTCATTATTTACAAAAAAAAGACCAACAAAAAATTGGGAGCATATATTATCAGAACCAGAATAAACTTTATTGGAATTGCACCGAGGTACAACGCAAATATGTACGTATAGTCGTCCAAAAGATGGGCGGAGTGCATGAAGCTGCAACTGCAGAAAGCGCGGCCATTTTTATCCTTATCAGATAATAATCTTAGATAGGAAAAGGGGTAGAAACATGAGGGTAGATAGTGGTGTAGTGAACTAGGCCTGAGGTCAAATCCTGACCTTAAGGACCTTATGGGACAGAAACTGTCATTTCATTGATTTGAATCCAGAAATACAGGTTGACCCATCCTGAGACTTTCTTTCTTGAATTAATCAAGTGAAAGAACACTACTTTCGATTATCATTACTATTTTACAAATGTTTGATAATCAAATTGTGTTAGTTCAAACCATTTTTGAATGTTGAAGTGAACTACTCATTTTTAAATCAACTGTGAAACAGTAATAACGATTTGTAATCCTCATTCAAAGTGGAAATCAAGTTGGAATATGTTACAGAGTAATGATTCCATTTCTTGATCGTCTGTTTGAAATGAGCAAGTGTGTAAGTTGGTCAAAGTTCAAGTTTCGGTCAACTGCAAGTTTACTAAAAAAGAAATGTCATGTTTAACTTTTACAGCAAGATACTAGAGAATTGACTCCACGAAGTCTGAGTTCTTCATAATATCTTTTGTCTGTTCTTAAACAATCTTAATCTTTTTCCTTGACTCTTAATAACCTCTTACATCACAAAACACACCTCTGTTTTGGTCCATCGACCAATCAGAAAGTCCTCAAATGAACCGGAAGTGACCCTTTTTAAAAGGTGCAACACTTCCTAGTTCACAGTAGTTCTGCGAGAGGTTCCAGCTCCAGTCGAAGTTCTGGAGAGCTCAGTAGTTCTGAGAAGTTCTCGGCAGTTCTGGGAAGAACGCTGAGGAGAACGCTGAGAGAATGCTGTGAGTTGGTTCCGTCAGTTCCAGAGTTCAGAAGGCTGGAATTCAGGATGCTGGAGGAAGAAAACAAGCTGAACGAGAGAAGATCAGGGAATTATGAAATGTCTGTTCTGGATGATCTCACGACTCCTGAGGTTTAGCTGTTCTTACGGAGACGCTGGAAGAGTTGAAAGGAAAGCTCTACACCAACGCTGAAACTATCATCTGCAAAGGTAAAGAGTCTATCTCAACCAAAGTGTACCGTTGGGTTAAGCTGGTCCAAAGGAGCGTGCTGTTCTGGTTAAAACAGACAAATTCCCTCACCCATCTCTCTCAAGATAAACTTCATTTTCCATCTTTAAGCTCTTCTTTTTGCTAGAAATTAATCCAGATAATTTTAGAAATGTCTGTGGTGAAGCAACGGAAAATCATGGCCGTATGGTTTTCCTGGTTGTAAAGCTGATTAATTATGTTGTTATTTTCAATTTTTGCCAATTAATGTAAATGTGTGATGTGTTAAACTTGATTCTGAAAATAAATGACCATGTTCATTTTGATGGGTCAAAGATAATTAACGTCTCACGTTACATTTTTAATTATTCAATGCACGATATTATCCAGTCCAGAAAAATGAAAGAATCCGTTTAATTTATGAATATATACAGCATATGTTCCTCTACAGTGGTATTACAAAAAAAGATCTTTCACATCTTGTCTATCAGGACACGATTTGAGACATCAAAAAACTCTACCAGCAAGCACAATTAAAACATGATTACATATGCATTTGACATCAAGGTGTTGAGATTTGTCCATGAGCGTTTTTTCAGATCAGCCACAGTTTCTCAAGATGTTGTTTCAGCGGACAGTTCTGATAAGCTTGCACAGAAAGTTCTGGGTTGGGGGATGGGGGGTGCGATAGATGAAGCTTTTGTCCTTGGGTACTCATGTCCCAGGAGAAAATGATAGTCGGCCTGTCTCCGAGGCCGTCGGGAGTCTGATTCAGATAAGCTTGATTCTTGTTTTTTCTTCAGGCAGACAGATTACTTTTTTCTTCAGCCTTGAGTCCATCTGGGCATTCTGGTTCCGAAAATGCCTAATTGTGGGATTCCATTCCACTGATCCATGCTATGAGTCTCCTTCAAGGTCGAACCCACGACGCTGACGAGTCCTAGAAGCCGCAGGTGGCCTGTGATTCTCAATCGCCTCCACCTTACGGTTAAGCTGACGATTTAAAGTTCCTACAGCGAGGACCAGTCCTTCACACTGACTCGGAAGCTTTTCCGTGGCCGAAACTGCTCCCGCCGTCTTCTTCAAAAGTCGATAAAACAGAGCCCCGCCGATGCCAAAAAGCAGAGTCCCTGCTATCATAATTCCAAATATATAAACGTCTTCATTATCCTCTTGAGACAGGACTGAGAGACACATCATCTGCCGCACTCCCCACAAATCCACGACGTACCCCACAGCGTGAGTCTCAGCTGGACACGCCGGTTCTCCAGGACCTTGTCGCTTTGATAAAAAAAATCTTGTCAATAGAGTTGAACGCCCACGATACCAAATCCATAATCTTTTTAATTTATGTTCGGGAGATGAGTCCCAGGTGCTTCAGACAGACAGAGAGCAGAGCAGGAAGAAGGAAAAACGGGGGAGGAAAAAACAGAAGCTGCCACCTCGAGCAGAGCCTGGAAGGGAAAAAAATGCTCCTACCATTTATCATACAGCAAATAAGTCACAGGAAAAATGAAACTATTAGTTTTTATTATTAAGCTGCAAACGTGAAGAAACGTGCGGCACGTCAAAAACAAAACTAAAAACAGTGGGGGAGACGACCACCCCGTACCACCTCCAGCTGTGGTGCGCATTAAGTTTAGTTTTAGTGTTTAATATGTTTATAGATTTTTTTTATAGGTTTAGAGATTAATATTTTTTGCTTTTTGTTTGTGAAACGAGGTCAGAGGAAGCTGGTTCTGGTTCTGTCCATTGGACCGGGTGTTACACCATATTCTGTGACCTGCAACAGTGCATGCAACACTGCCCCCTACGGTCACAAAATATGGTGTAACACCGGTTTGCAACGAGCTTCAAACAGTCAGGACGTTTATTCATTTTCTGTTTCCTTACAGTAGTTGAACCAGAAGATTCATCTTTTGTGAAATATCTCTAGACTATTGATGCATTTCTACCTGTTTGTCAAGACTGGGTCTGCTCTGCTCCATCCGTCTGCTTGGAGGAATCCATTTTGTAACCCGCGCTCGGTGCGGATCACGAGACACGTGACGCGATGACGTAATGGTGGCGTAATGTCGTCACCACAAATACTCGACATGAAATTAAAAACCTCAATACGTGTCCTAGGAATCCATGTGTAGATTACTCGAGTAGTCTGTTAAAGCCCTAATGTCCACGCGACATCGCAAAGGCATGTCAACCAAGACAGCCCCACAACATCCAGAGCCTTGAGGAAATGAAAATCTTATACAACCCTGGAGCCCTGCTGCCGTGGAACTTTTTAACTACTTCAGTGACCTCAGCCACGGTTACGGACAGATCAAACCTGAAGTCTCTCGACTCAACTTCCTCCATGGAAGATGTGCATGTGGGATTGAGAAGGTCTGAGAAGTATTCCTTCCACCTCCTGACGACATCAATGGTTGAAGTCAACAGCACCCCACCTTCACTGAACATAGTTTTAGTAAAGCACTGCTTTCCACATCTCAGCCATCTGATGGTTAGCCAGAATATCCTTGCAACTGACCGAGAGTCTCTATCCAAGGCCTCATAGAAATCCTCCACATCCAAACTTTGCCTCTGCAACAGTTTGGACGTTTCGGAACCGAGCGGACCGACATAGACTCAAGGTAGATGTCAGTAGAGTTCTGCCTATCCCCAAAACAATTGGGCTTATCTAAATTCGTCTCCCTGACTGGCATTGACAGACTATTTTATCTTAATTTGCCTGACAGTTTTGTAAAGGTTTGATGCTCTGCCCCTTCCACCGAGGAAGTCTCTGGATCAATCAGAAGGGCCCAGCTGAATCTGCCATCATTTCAGGACTCTTTGGATTCTATCTGACGTGTCCTTGGCCATTCCTTGGTTTCCCCCCATGAGTGTACGGATCTCTCCAGAGGGAACTATTTGATCTGAGTGATTTTATCTGAACTCTGCAGTGCCTCTGTGTGTTGAAAAATACTATGGTTTCTTGCATTCTCTGTTCAATTCCAGGCAAGAAAAACACTCTAACTAAACAAGAAAAATTCACTCCTCAAATTCCTCAGTGATGGGAGACATTGGTGCACCACTTGTTCAAATCAGATTCTTAATCTATTTTTCCAACTACAACAATGTTGCTCTGTAGCTTAAAGAAAATAAAAATATTGTAAGATTTTCCCATATCGGCCCTGTGATGGACTTGCGACCTGTCCAGGATGTACCCCGCCCCTCGCACAGTGATTGCTGGACATGGGCATTGGCGACCCCCGTGACCCAAAATGGAAGAAGCGGGTAAAAGATAATGGATGGATGGATTTTCCCATATCTGTTTAAACTTAAAAAAATTAAGTAAATAATAAATAAACTAACAACAGATCTAGAATCTTTACATCTCTTTCTTCTTAAGTATTCACTTTTTCAATGTGTAAATGTCTACTTTGGGCAAAATGAACTAATTACTACTTTATTTATTCCTGAGGGAAATTCACTAAAAGGAGTAGTATTTGTACCTGAACACCATCATGGCTGAAGAAGAGGCGGGCGTCAGCTGCTGTGGCCATCTGTAAACACGTAGCTCCGCCCCACACAGGTGATTTCCTGATGAGGAGGGTGAAGGAACGACTCTCACTGCTCTGGTAGCACACACCAAACACATCTAACACACGCGAACGCATGCACACACACACACACACACACACAAAACATAAGACAGATGCAGGGGTCAATAAGTGAAGTGGATTAAAGTCCCAGCTTCAAAAAGAAAAAAAAAAGATTTGCCCTAAATAATAAGTACTTCCTCTTATTTTTAAAATGGTTTTATTTTTTCTTTCAGCTGATCTCTACTTCAGGGGTCACCACAGCAAATTATCTCGCATGAAGACCTGGCAATTATTTTTATGTTTTCCCTTCCTGATGCAACCACAGACCACCAAGCTACCACAGCTCTCTGTGTGGAGCAGAGAACTGCTATCTGCGGCTCCCGGGGGAGTAGATGGTCGGGGTTAAGGGCCTTGCTGAAGGTCCCAGAGTGGGGAAAATGAGGGTGGAGGCAGGTGTGGATGCTTCACCTATCCCACCCACATTTTTGATGTTGTCAGTCCTGGGAGTTGAACCGGCAACCTTACGATCACAAGCCCACCTTGTGTAACCTCTGCGCCACCACTCTCTCTAAATTCCTCCTAATAAATGTTGTAAATGACTTATTACTTAGCTTGCTTCCTGAACTGCATTCTTGGAATATTTTTCAACTATTTGAACAGTTCTGAGTGGAGGTTAAATTGTCTTACAGTGATTCAGTTTCAATTGTTGACTTATTTGCAGTCATGGACAGTAAGTTTAGCACCTGCGCTGGATTGCAGATTTATAAAATTGCTCGGCCAATAGTGAGTAGAACTGCAGGAAGCTTCGACATGATCTCATTGGGGCAGTAATAGGTGCAACATTATGGAGATAAATTAGTCTCAAAAGTAGTCTCATGAGCATACAATTAGCTTTGTATGTGTACAAAAAGATCCACAAGCGTACTACAAAATTAAAAAAAATATAAAACAGTTCATGGACCAGTGACGGACAGGTCAGTCAACATGAGCGCATGGATCAGCTTGCATGAATGTGACTTTGGAGACTTTATAACCACTTCAGATCCACAAAGGTAATTCTGCATTCAAGGCTGCTGCACATCTTGGACATCTGAGCCATCAACAGCAGATGATTTGTGTGCATGTATTTGACAGTTTATATGTGCAGAATATTCCTACTTGCAATTTACAATGTGTACATTTGAAAAACTGTTCATGCATTTTTGCATCTTGTGGATGTCTCTTGTCTGAGCGAGAAGAGGTGTTTGAATGATGCTTCATTGTGGATGACACAGGCGTCAGATTCAGCAGTCAGATTTCATGTATAATGTAATATGTGCTTATGAGGAAGCAGAGATGGACTATCTCATAAGAATATAATATTAATAAGAATGATGCAGATACTGAAAATTGTGATTGAATGTAAACTGATGGTTCACATTTTAATGTTTTCCAACTCACCGTTTGCCAGGTTTTCAAACTTCTGTGCCAGTTCTTTCATTGCCAGCTTGCTCTCTGTCTCAATCTCAAGCTTTGAAAGTTCTCTCAATATCTTACATCCACCAAGAGCGCTCAGTACTGACTCCCCTGCCTGTCAAAGAAACACAAAATGCCAAGAATTACCTACTGAAACAAGTGGTACGCTGATGTCCCCCTCGCTGAGGGATTTGAACAGTGTGTTTTTCTGGACAAGAATTGAATAGAAAACGCAAGTAAACCTAAATGTTTTTGGTGTATGATACTCAAGTGGGTAGGAGTTACACTGTGGAGAACGGAGGGAGTTTTGTTATTTATTTTTGCTTGTTTGAGTCGGTGAAGAGTGACAGATCCTAGTGAGTGGAGGAAGCAATTTTATCCACCACCAGGTGCAAAGGTGGAGCCAGGGGGTGGTCATTGGTGACCTTGGCCCCCTTAGATTAATCTTCAGCCACCCCCAATCATTTGAGAAAACTATACTTATAAGCAATATAAAAATTAGAAAGCATATTTTCCTCAAATGTTTGGGGTGGTGGCTTTACAGATAATGTAAACCCATATATATAAATATATATTCCCATTTCTTATGGGAATATATATGCAGTAGTCCCTCGCTAATTTGGGGTTCGACTTTTGCAGACTTGCTCTTCACGGTTTTTCAAATTAAGATTGGATATCACACACAATTAGCTGATTGATGGATGAGCCGCACGATCGGCATGGATTGTTTATTTAAAATAATTTATTTTTAATGATTTAGCACCTGCAGCATGGTGGTGCAACTGGTAGAGCTGCTGCCTCTCAGCAAGCAGGTCCTTGGTTCAAACCCCAGTCCAGGAACCATTCTGGGTGGAGTTTGCATGTTCTCTCCGTGCATGCGTGGGTTTTCTCCGGGTGCTCCGGTTTCCTCCCACAGACCAAAAACATGCACGTTAGGCTGATTAGTAACTCTAAATTGTCCCTAGGTGTAAGTGAAGAGTGAATGGTTGTTTGTCTTGTTTGTCTCTATGTGGCCCTGTGATGGACTTGCGACCCGACCAGGGTGTACCCCGCCCCTCGCACAGTGATTGCTGGACATGGGCCCCAGCGACCCCCGTGACCCAAAATGGAATAAGCGGGTAAAGATAATGGATGGATGGATTTAGCACAGTAGCACGGTGGCGCAACTGGTAGAGCTGCTGCCTCTCAACGAGCAGGTTACCCTGGATCAAATCCTGGTCCGGGGGCCTTTCTGGGTGGAGTTTGCATGTTCTCTCCATGTACAGGTCTTTCTCAAAAAATTAGCATATTGTGATAAAGGTCATTATTTTCCATAATGTAATGATAAAAATGAAACTTTCATATATTTCAGATTCATTGCACACCAACTGAAATATTTCAGGTCTTTAATTGTTTTAATACTGATGATTATGGCATACAGCTCATGAAAACCCAAAATGCCTGTCCCAAAAAATTAGCATATTTCATCCCACCAATGAAAGACAAGTGTTTTTAATGCAAAAAATGCCAACCTTCAAATAATCATGTTCAGTTATGCACTCAATACTTGGTCGGGAATAATTTTGCATGAATGACTGCTTCAATGCGGCGTGGCATGGAGGCAATCAGCCTGTGGCACTGCTGAGGTGTTATGGAAGCCCAGGATGCTTCGATAGCGGCCTTAAACTCATCCAGAGTGTTGGGTCTTGCGTCTCTCAACTTTCTCTTCCCAATATCCCACAGGTTCTCTATGGGGTTCAGGTCAGGAGAGTTGGCAGGCCAATTGAGCACAGTAATGCCATGGTCAGTAAACCATTTACCAGTGGTTTTGGCACTGTGAGCAGGTGCCAGGTCGTGCTGAAAAATGAAATCTTCATCTCCATAAAGCTTTTCAGCAGATGGAAGCATGAAGTGCTCCAAAATCTCCTGATAGCTAGCTGCATTGACCCTGCCCTTGGTAAAACACAGTGGACAAACACCAGCAAATGACATGACACCCCAGTGACTGTGGAAACTTGACACTGGACCTCAAGCAATGTGAATTATGTGTCTCCTCTCTTCCTCCAGACTCTGGCACCTTGATTTCCAAAGGAAATGCAAAATTTACTGTAATCAGAGAACATAACTTTGGACCACTCAGCAACAGTCCCAGGCGAGATGCTTCTGATGCAGTCTCTTGTTCAAAAGTGGCTTGACCTGGGGAATGCAGCACCTGTAGCCCATTTCCTGCACACGCCTGTGCACAGTGGCTCTGGATGTTTCTACTCCAGACTCAGTCCACTGCTTTCGCAGGTCCCCCAAGGTCTGGAATTGGCCCTTCTCCACAATCCTTCTCAGGGTCCGGTCACCTCTTCTCGTTGTGCAGCGTTTTCTGCCACACTTTTCCCTTCCCACAGACTTCCCACTGAGGTGCCTTGATACAGCACTCTGGGAACAGCCTATTCGTTCAGCAATTTCTTTCTGTGTCTTACCCTCTTGCTTGAGGGTGTCAATGATGGCCTGCTGGACAGCAGTCAAGTCGGCAGTCTTACCCATGATTGTGGTTTTGAGTAATGAACAAGGCTGGGAGTTTTTAAAAGCCTCAGGAATCTTTTGCAGGTGTTTAGAGTTTCGTCGTTGATTCAGATGGTTAGGTTAATAGCTTGTTTAGAGAACCTTTTCATGATATGCTAATTTTTTGGGACAGGCATTTTGGGTTTTCATGAGCTGTATGCCATAATCATCAGTATTAAAACAATTAAAGACCTGAAATATTTCAGTTCATTACATTACGGAAAATAATGACCTTTATCACAATATGCTAATTTTTTTAGAAGGACCTGTATATGGCGCCGTCAGCTGCCTTGTGTGAAAAGCAATATTCTTCATGGTCTTCTGTTTCATCTTCTGCTCATGCTAAGTCCATTTTTGAAAAATGACAAAATATAACTCCTAAAACTTGATGCCACTTCGTTTTTATTTTTATTTACAGAAGAAGAAGAAGACGTGTCTTCAGAGATTTTGATGTCGTTTCTTTCAGTAGTTCTAGGTGCAGCGCCCCCACAGGTGAGCGGGGGAATAGGTTGGTTCAACAGGTTGACTCGACTGCACAGTGCAGTGTGAATGCAAACGCACCAGCTCAAATGTAAACAAAAGCTCATGAATATTGGTTCCAAACCGAACGGAGTCTACCGGACTATCTGGTGTGAAAACGACCTAAAATCAAGCTGGATGCCAGCCTATAACAATGATCACAGCAAAGTTTGTTGTAATGTGTTCATGAATTTGGCAATGAATGTGTTAACCGGTTTCTAAAGAGAGTATTTTCTTTTTTCAAGAATGTATAATAAAATGCACACAACTCACCATCTCCCAGAAGTAAATAGCCATTTCCTTGCGGTTCTGTAGGACAGCCCAGATGAAGAGGGCTGCCCAGGGTGTGAGGCAGTACTGGTCCCGATACGAGCATTCCCCCTGCAGCAGCTTATTCACTTGCTGAGGTTGAGAACATGGAGGAAAATAACAATGAGAGTTTGGTCCAATCAAACCTTTTCAGTGCCAGCAGACATGCTCTGTGATTTAAGGGTAGAAGAAAACATTATTTTGTTGTTTGAATATTCCACCCAATGTTTTACGATTGCAGGGGCCGATTCACTGGATTTCTAATGCAAAAGTCACTGCTGAATTCTGTAGACATATTCTGATGGGAATTTTTTGCTCGGGTGAATTTTTTGAGTTTTGAATTAAAAAAATTCAAACAAAATAAAATAAATAAATAAACTTTATAGATGTAACTGGCCATGACAATAATTATATTATAGTTAGGTTTTGATATTTTCAAGCGGAAATTCTCTAGCCACTGCTGTAACCCTCCCTTCCTGATTTAAAAACTTACTGTACTTTCCTGATGCATGCTCAATAATCCAGGTAGAAATATCTAAAAAAGTTAAATCTGGTCCTCTGGACATTCAAAAAAACAAAACAAAGCAAAACAACAAAAAAAATGTAGAAACGTTTCGTCTCTCATCCGAGAGACTTCCTCAGTCTGAGGTGCTGTATTCAGCTCAGTCTCTTAAATAGCACCTTCTCAGAGTGGATCAACCAGCTTTGGGAAGGAGAAAGGAGGAGCAGAAGGAGAAATCCCACACAAGACAGGCTCTAGAGCAATGTGGATATCCTAACTGGGCCTTCCTAAAAGCAGAGAAGAAACCCAAACAGGACTCCAGTCAGCCAACAGGTGAAAAGGAGGAACCCAGACCCAGACCAGTGGTCATTCCATATGTTGAGGGAGTATCAGAGAAACTGAGACGTTTATTTTCTAAACATAACGTCCCAGTGGCTTTTAAACCCCAAAATACATTACGGCAAAGACTGGTTCATCCCAAAGATCCAGTCCCCCGGCACAAACAGAGTAATGTTGTGTATGCTGTTCAGTGTCAGGAGGGCTGTGATCAGTCTTACATCGGGGAAACAAAACAGCCACTGGCCAAAAGGATGGCCCAGCACAGAAGATCAACATCATCAGGCCAGGACACTGCGGTCTACACTCATCTCCAGGCCAGCGATCACTCTTTCAGGGATGAAGATGTTCACATCCTGGACAGAGAGGAATGATGGTTTGAGAGAGGAGTAAAGGAGGCCATCTTTGTGAAAAGAACGTCCATCGTTAAACAGGGGTGGAGGCCTACGTGTTCAATTGTCCCCCTCTTACAATGCTGTGATTGCTAGTATCACTCAGCCCTCTGTGAATAGTAAATAGCCATCAGTGTGCTAATGATCCATTGTTAGGCTGATGGTCCTTCTTGAGCATGTGATCAGCTGGTTTTGGTTGTCAGCAGCAAAACTGGTTGATCCACTCTGAGAAGGTGCTATTTAAGAGACTGAGCTGAATACAGCACCTCAGACTGAGGAAGTCTCTCGGATGAGAGACGAAACGTTTCTACATGTTTTTGTTGTTTTGCTTTGTTTTGTTTTTTTGAATGTCCATAGGACCAGATTTAACTTTTTTAGTTACTGTACTTTCCAGTCTAGAAGCTGCTACTTTTTTCACACATTTTGAACCCTGCAGCGTATACAATGCTGTGACTAATTTATTAACTTTTTTTTGGACGTGCTAACGAGTTTCCTGCCACCAAAAACATTTAGCCTCATGACACCCAGGCGCTCACATAGCTGCCCAATACACGTCTCTCTTGGGGGGTGGGTCCTCGTGACTTACTGAGACTACCTCATTGCTTCATTGCGGTTGACTGTTGGTCACATGACCTCAGGGAGGGATTATGGGTAAAAGTTATGTTCATTGTTAATCATTTCAGTTATCTGTTCAGCATTGTTCTTTTAGTGGTTAGTCTGTTCTTGTTAGCCTAGTTTATGTTCATTATGTGCTAGTTTGTGTTAGACCATTCAGTACGGAGGGAGGTAGTTGTTATGAAGACCTGTGTTTTGTCTGTTTGTACTGAACAGTAAAATAAAGTCTATAAAACACCATCTGGTGGTTGATTCTAATCTACAACAAGAGCTGCACATCTCTCTCAGTAGGTGTGTGCTGCCACTCATGTTACAACGTGAACACCCATGACTTATATATGTACAAAATTGTTTGTTAAATTATATTTAGCGTGTGCAGCTTATATTCTAACGTGCTCTATAGACCGGAGATTATGGTAATTTGCCCAGCTGAGAATCTGTACAAGCTGAACTCACTGACCTTTATGGCCCTCCTAGTGCTGACGCTGTGGTCAAGGCCAAAAGGTCCATAATGGAATGGCTGACAGATATCACCTAAAAGATCTGACAGCAGTCGAGATACCTGCAGTGCAATCACAAACTTTAATAAAGTCAGTTAACAAGCAAACATTCAATATGTTTAAATACAAACCGGATTCCAAAAAAGTTGGGACACTAAACAAATTGTGAATAAAAACTGAATGCAATGATGTGGAGATGGCAAATGTCAATATTTTATTCGTAATATAACATAGATGACAGATCAAAAGTTTAATGTGAGTAAATGTAACATTTTAAAGGAAAAATATGTTGATTCAAAATTTCACAGTGTCAACAAATCCCAAAAAAGTTGGGACAAGTAGCAATAAGTGGCTGGAAAAAGGAAATTGATCATATAACGAACAGCTGGAAGACCAATTAACACTAATTAGGTCAATTGACAACATGATTGGGTATAAAAAGAGCTTCTCAGAGTGTCAGTGTCTCTCAGAAGCCAAGAATTATTGCCACCGAACTGTCTGTATTTTAACGCCCTGCGGCCATCAGGCTGGCGCGGTGGTGGATTATTAACAATATTCAAATCAACTTTTGACTGTAAACAACTGCCCATCCCAATTTCCCGTGCCAGCTTTGAGCTGAGCGTCTTTGAACTCGGACATTCACCTCAGACTTTATTTGCACTCCTCTATCGCCCACCTCGATCTAAGGATTTCATAAAGAGTTTTCTGACTTCTTAGCTGAAATCACACCAAAATATGAGCATGTTTTCATTATTGGGGACTTTAATTTGCACGTGTGAGGTCCTGAGAAGCCCTTAGTTAAGGACTTTTTTGATTTATTGGACTCATTTAATCTAACGCAGCATGTAAACGGTCCCGCCCAAGAGCGTGGACATACACTGGACCTTGTTTTAACTCATGATGTGACTGTTAATAATCTTGTTATTGGTGCATAGGCGTCACAACCATTGTATGTGAAGGGGACAAGTCCCCCCCACATTAAAAAAACGTTCATTTGGACCCCCCACTTTTATTATAAAACATTAGTTCAGGCGGCGTAGTTTCTCTTTCTTCGTGAACGAATCCATTCCACTTGATTAATAGGAGAATACTCAAGCCATTAAAACTCCACTCCAGGTGTTCCTGGTTACCTCCATCTCTCCACCGTCCCTTCCTGCATCTTGCCTCGGCAGAAAACGCGCACAGGTGAAGGTACCTGTGTTACTCGCTCGCCAGTTTAGCAGCTTAGTGTGGGCAGTGGTTGACCAGGGGGTTGATCATAAACATATATTCATGTTAGGAGGATGCTTGAGAGCAGCACTACGTCTGTAGCATATTAGCTTAGCAGTAAGTGTGTACAGCAGGTGTAAGAGACGCTGTGTGTTCAGGTGCATTAAAGTTTAAATGTCTTTAAAACCCCACACCTTTTTGTCCTCAAGCTTCATGAGAAACATCATTTAGATGAGTAGTGTTGAACACAAGTAAAAAAGTCTAGTGGTGATGTTTTTTATTTCTCTATAAAGACAAATAGGGCCGATCTGAGGCTCTGTATTAAAGTGTATTAAAGTTAAAATGTCTTTAAAACTCAGCTGAATTTACACAAACTTGGTGAGAAACACGTTTTAAATGTGTGGAATTAAAGGACATCTAGGTGAAATGCTGCTTTTTTGTTCACTAGTGAACACCTTATTTTACGTGTGCACGCGCGCACACACACACACCTACACACATTTATTGTGTCCCCCCCACATTATGGATGCTTCTGACGCCCTTGTATTGGTGATAATGTTTTTTCAGACCACATGCTAGTCCAGTTTGAGTTCACCCTCCCCCATCTAACTCCTAAGCCGTGTGTTCCTGCACGTCGCAGCCGGACCATTAACCACTTCACTGCCGCACGTTCCACAGATGTTTATAACTCTGAAATGATAATTCAGCCCCTGGTGTTTCTCTCCACCACTGAGGAGCTGACAGCCCAGTTCAACTCTGTCTGCTTAAAGAATATGGATCATGTTGCACCTATTAAAACCAAAAAATCAAAACTCAGAGCAGAACGTTGGCTGAGTGACGTCACCAAGGCCGTTAGGCAGCAATGTACTAGATGATCTCTCCTGCACAGGAGAGATCATCTTTGGGCCACAGCGAGAAAATCTGACTCAGACACTGATTGGTTGAGTTTTCGACAGATGAGGAATAAATGTACAACTGCTGTCAAAAGCAGCAAAATGCAACTATTTCTTATCTCAGACCTCCAAAAATCTAAATGACCCTAACAGATTCTGGAAAACCATCAAATCTCTCTCAGGCACCCCCCCCCAATCATCTGACCTCCCAGCACAACTTCTCGTTAACTCTGTTCCTGTGTCAAATAAGCACAAGATCCTGAACTGTTTCAACAAACATTTTGTTGCTTCTAGTTCTTTATTTGACACAGTTACTAATGGAAAATCAGCCACTTCACTTAATAACCAAACTTCTACAAATCAAATCCCTCCTACAAGTCAATCCTCAGTTAATCACACCTTCTCTTTTTCTCCATTCTCAGTCAGTGAGGTCAATAAACTGTTAAAAGATCTTGACCCTAAAAAATCTGCAGGTCCAGATGAACTTCCACCTTATTTCTTAAGGCTGGCTGCTCATATCATCACAGTCCCTGTGACCCACATCTTCAATCTCTCCATAAGACAAAACTCCATCCCAGACGCTTGGAAAACAGCCTTTGTTCTTCCTTTGCTGAAGGAAGGTGACCCCACCTCACTGAACAACTATCGACCAATCTCTAAACTCTGCATTTTAGCCAAGGTTCTAGAAAAACTGATAAACTCTCAAATCAAAAATTACCTGGACTCATTTAACATCTTACCTCCACATCAATCTGGTTTCAGGAAACAACACAGCACAACCACTGCTTCACTGAAGGTTCTTAATGACGTTGTTGAAGCACTGGATGCTAAGGATTACTGTGCTGCACTTTTCTTAGACCTGTCTAAAGCTTTTGACACTGTGGATCATAAAATCTTGTGTCATAAACTCTCAGAAATCGGTTTCTCAGAACACACCATTGGTTGGTTCTCTAACTATCTTTCAGACCGGAGGCAATGTGTTCAACATAATGGTACTTCCTCCAGTTATTTAACAGTCAACAATGGTGTACCACAAGGCTCAGTCTTAGGACCGACCCTCTTTACAATCTACATACATAATGTAGGTAAAAACATCCCTAATGCATCCATACATTTCTATGCTGATGACACAGTTGTTTATTGCCGAGCTAAAACTGTTGCTAAGGCTTTCCAGCTTTTGAAATCTACATTCAACATCATCCAGACAGATTTGTTCCGCCTCAAACTTGTCCTAAATGCCGACAAAACCAAAGGGATGCTTTTTTTCAAATAGGAAGTTGGTCCCAGCAGTTCTTCCTCCGATTTTATCCTCAAATGGTGTCCCCATTGAGTTTGTTGATTCCTATAAATATTTAGGTATCTTGGTCGACTCACATCTCTCTTTTAAGCTCCATGTGGAAAACTTGGTAAAGAAACTGAAAGTTAAACTGGGTTTCTTTTTCAGAAACAGATCCTGTCTAACCCTCAATGCTAGAAAACGCCTTGTATCTGTGACTTTCCTTCCCTCCATTGATTACGGTGACATTATTTACATGAACGCTCCTACAAGAACCCTGCAGATGTTGGATGCTGTCTATCATGGTGCACTAAGATTCATAACTGGCTGTGATTATCGTACCCACCACTGCACCCTGTATTCACTGGTTAACTGGACATCATTAACTACACGCAGACTCTCTCACTGGTACATTTTCATCTTTAAATCACTTCTTGGTCTGCTGCCTTCATACATCTCCTCCTACATGTCTCTGCGTGAGTGCAGCTACGGAGTACGCTCTCAGGACATTATTACCTGCAGTGTTCCCTCAATGAGGACTGAACTGGGCAAAAGGGCCTTCTCCTACTCCGCTCCTGTTTCCTGGAATATCTTACAAAAAGATTTGAAGCTCTCGACCTTGACCTCTCTAAGTGGCTTTAAGAATCTTTGGACTCCTGGCAGGGACCAATGCAGACATGTTCCTGTTTTTAGTTTTCTACATTCGCCTTAGAATCTAGCTGTTTTTTTTGTTACCTTTTTCTTTAGCCATCCTATTTGTAAAAAAAACAAACAAAAAAAAAACTGCAGTATTACTTTTTTTAATTGTTTATTGTTGTTGCAGTTGTCCATTGTTGTCATCTTTCTTTGTTGAAATCAGGTCTCTCTTGTAAATGAGTCCTCGAGGCTCAATGGGATTTACCTGTCTAAATAAAGGTTGAATGAATGAATGAAAAAAATGTAGGAGGGCGGAACGAAAGTGGAGGAAAGACAGGCTGCAGGTCTCTTTTCAAATACTTAAAGAGAGTTGGCGCCGTTATCAGAAAGCAGTGAAAGCTGCTAAATCTAAATACTTCTCTGATATAATTACCTCAAACTCTCGCAATCCACGTGTCCTCTTCTCCACCCTAAACTCTGTTCTCCACCTCACTGAACCATCACCTCTGGAAGCCTCGACTGAGCTGTGCGAGAACTTCTTACATTTCTTTTTGAAAAAAATTGCGACCACCCGGGCTCTCATTTCCCCTCCAACTCATGACCCATCCATCCCACCTCAAGCTGTAGCTCTATTTGACCATTTTGAACCCATCACTCTATCTTCTCTAGAGCAGGTCATGTGCAGCTTGAAACCTTCTGGCTCCCGCTTTGATGTGGTCCCCCCTCGAGTACTAAAGGAGGTTTTTCCAACTCTAGGTCCGTCCATTCTTGATATAATAAAAAGTAGTTTATCCACTGGCGTGGTGCCAAAATCCTTTAAACATGCAGCTGTCCAGCTTCTCCTGAGAAAAAAACAAACCTTGACCCCTCAGTCGTTTCCAATTATCGGCCTGTCTCCAAACTCCAATTTGTTTCTAAACTACTGGAGAAAATAGTCGAGTCCCATTTGAAGTGCTTCCTGGAGGATCATGCCATCTTAGAGCTATTCCAATCTGGCTTTAAACCTCTCCACAGCACTGAAACTGCCCTGCTGAAGGTCTTTAACGACGTCTTCAGATCCACAGATACTGGTGATTCTGTGCTGCTTGTCCTGTTGGACCTCACAGCCGCCTTTAACACCATCGACCATGAGATCCTCATTGCTAGGTTGGAGCAGTGGGTGGACATCACAGGATCAGCCCTCAATTGGTTCAGATCTTACCTCACTGACAGATCCTTTTGTGTCTCCATCAAGGATTTTAGTTCCGCAGAGGCAGACCTTAAATGGGGGGTTTCGCAGGGGTCCATCCTGGGTCCCCTCCTATTCTCTTTATACCTGCTGCCGCTTGGTGCTATTTTCCGGAAACACAACATGCCCTTCCACTTCTATGCCAATGACTGTCAAATTTACTTCCCCCTAAGACACAATGGTACATGCTCTATTCAACCGCTGCTCAACTGCCTGGCTGACATCAGGGACTGGATGGCTTTAAACTTCTTAAGTTTCAATGAAAAGAAGTCTGAAGTCATGCTGTTCCCTCCCAATGACACGATCACAAACCACTGCATCGACCTTTCCACACTATCCCTGTCAGAAAAACAAACAGTCACTAATCTGGGTGTGATAATGGACCCTTCCCTGAAACTTAACAGTCATGCAAACATGATTGTTAAATGATGCTTCTTCCAATTGAGGCGGCTGTTTAAACTGAAGTCCATATTGTCCAAAAATAACCTGGAGACAGTAATACATGCATTCATTACATCTAGGCTTGATTACTGCAATTCACTCCTGTTTGGTATCAGTCAGACCTCCATTGCACGACTACAACTGGTCCAGAATGCAGCAGCCCGATTTTTAACCAGTACAGGCAAAAGAGAGCACATTACACCAGTTCTGGCCGCACTGCACTGGGTACCGGTTCACTTTCGAATCCAGTTCAAAATACTCCTGTATGTCTACAAATCACTGAACAGCGTCCCCCCCCATCTCTCTGATCTGCTACAACCGTATGTCCCACCGAGTTCCCTGAGGTCAGCAGACCAGTTGCTCCTCACAGTTCCAGGATCTCGTCTTAAGCCCAGAGGTGACAGGGCCTTGTCTGTAGCAGGACCTAGACTTTGGACGAGTTACCTCTGCTTGTCAGACAGGCCCCCTCCCTCTCAGTTTTCAAGTCCCATTTAAAAACCCACTATTCGGTGGCTTTCAACACCAGATGATCTGTGTTTTGATCCTGTATGCTCCACTTTGTCATCATTATCTGCATCGTTTTTATGTCTATATTCTGATTTACCTCATTTTGTATATTGCTTTGTGTGTTACCTGTTGTTCTGTCTGTACAGCACTTTGGTTGACCTTGTCGCTGTTTTAAGTGCTTTATAAATAAAGTGGTATGGTATGGTATGGTATGGTAAGATGGTAAGAGGATCACCAATTCCACCATTGTTGCGCAGAAAAATAGTGCAGCAATACCAGAATGGTGTTACCCAACGTAAAATAGCAAAGACTTTTAAGTTATCATCATCAACCGTGCATAATATCATCAAAAGATTCAGAGAATCTGGAACAATCGCTGTGTGTAAAGGTCAAGGTCGTAAAACTCTACTGGATGCTCGTGATCTCCGGGCCCTTAAACGTCACTGCACCTCAAACAGGAATGCCACTGTCAAGGAAATAACAGAATGGGCTTAGGAATACTTCCAGTAAGCAATATCAGTGAGCACAATCCACTGTGCCATCCGCTGTTGCCAGCTGAAACTCTACAGTGCAAAGAGGAAGCCATTTCTAAGCAAGCTCCACAAGCTCAGACATTTGCACTGGGCCAGGGGTCATTTAAAATGGAGTGTGGCAAAATGGAAGACTGTTATATGGTCAGATGAGTCACGATTTGAAGTTCTTTATGGAACACTGGGACACCATGTCATCCGGACCAGAGAGGACAAGGATAGCCCAAGTTGTTTTCAACGCTCCGTTCAGAAGCCTGCATCACTGATGGTATGGGGTTGCGTGAGCGCTTGTGGCATGGGCAGCTTGCATGTCTGGAAAGGCACCATTAATGCAGAGAACTATGTTCAGGTTCTAGAACAACATATGCTCCCGTCTAGACGTCATCTCTTTCAGGGAAGACCCTGCATTTTTCAACACGATAATGCCAGACCACATTCTGCAGCAATCACAATATCATGGCTACGTAGGAGAAGGATCCGGGTACTGAAATGGCCAGCCTGCAGTCCAGATCTTTCACCTATAGAGAACATTTGGCGCATCATAAAAAGGAAGGTGCGACAAAGAAGGCCCAAGACAATTGAACAGTTAGAGGCCTGTATTAGAGATGAATGGGAGAGCATTCCTATTTCGAAACTTGAGAAACTGGTCTCCTCTGTCCCCAGACGTCTGTTGAGTGTTGTAAGAAGAAGGGGGGGGGGGGGATGTCACAGTGGTAAAAATGGACTTGTCCCAACTTTTTTGGGATTTGTTGACGCCATGAAATTTGGAAACAAGATTTTTTCCTGAAAATGATACATTCTCTCAGTTTAAACTTTTGATCTGTGATTTGTGTTCTATTCTGAATAAAATGTTAGATGTTGGCACCTCCACATCATTGCATTCAGTTTGTATTCACAATTTGTTTAGTGTCCCAACTTTTTTGGAATCCGGTTTGTAGTATACAATATGTTATTAAGGCAAAATATTTGTAACTAACAATTGGTAACTATTTCTTTAAACACTCTGGTACTTTAAATATCGTCATCACCTCAAACAGGCTGAGATCTTTCATCGAAGCAGGTGTAGTTAGTTTACACTGAGAGCTGTTCACAGGTGCTGGGGCTCCATTCACAGAGGAGTGGGACCCTGCCACATTCTGCCTTTCACTCAGACGTCTCTGGAGAAGGATGTAAGCCAGAGAGCTGTCTGACAGTGAGCGGTACAAGCTCTCCAAGCGCCCATATGTCAGATAATCCAGAATATTCAGACCATTCTCGCAGAAGAGACGCACAAACTGAGGCTTGTCATTGATCAGAGCATCTGTCATGGACTCCTCGAGATCATCATACTGAAAATGGGAAAAAAAATCAAATAAATTGGATTTCTTGAATTATGCAGAACTTCATAAAGCCTTTCTATAACAAAATGAATGAATAATGCTGCTCATGGCAAGCTTTGTTATGAAAGTAGAAAATATTTTACATGACAAACTGCTCACTTGACCTAGAGGTTAATTTATCTAAGGAACAGTGTGTATAATTTAGAGAAATCTAATGGTAAAGCTAGGAGTGGTTCACATTTTTCTATATTTCACAATCATACAAACCGTACACTGGGAGGGAGGGGGCCAAGGATGGGCGTATGCTTTTCAAAATGAAAAAAACGTTGCATGTTTCTTGATATGCGCTGAATAACTGATATGTTGTTAATCTCCAGCATGGCATAGACTGACATGTTATAGGACAACACACAAATTTTATTGTGCGCAACTAACAGTGCTACATCTTTACTCAATGCAAACACACAGAGCTGAACATTGCCAGTGCCAGTTCAAGTCCTCACCAGGCTGGAGTTCCTTTCAGAGGAAGCTGATGGACAGTGACTCGTTTCTTGACAAAAACTGTTTAATAAATACACCTCTAAATTCTCCAAGCCCCTCTTGGAGGAATCCATATCAGACTCAATTTGGCGAAAGATCATTCAGAACATTTATTCATCCTCAATCTGTCTGAGATACGCTGTAATTCAATTCAAGGTGGTGCACAGGCTGCACTGGTCTAAAGACAAGCTGTCTAAGATCAAAGCCGACCTGGACCCTGCATGTAATTGTTGTAAACAAACTCCAGCTACACTCTTACACGCATTCTGGACTTGTCCAAAGCTGAGGAGCTATTGGCAATCTATTTCTGATACTTTCTCTGGGATAAGTGGAAAAACTGTACACCCGTCACTGTTAATTTCATTGTTTGGGGTGGCCCCTGTGGATCCTTCAGCAAGTACGAGAAGGGTGTAATTACGTTTGGCTCTCTTCTAGCCAGGAGACTTATTTTATGTAGATGGAAGGATCTGCATCCCCAGTATATGAACACTGGATAATTAAATTCAACATAGTTTATTGATCCCCAAGGGGAAATTTCATTTCAGTACATCCTGCCAAGGCAACATACATGGGGGGGGACAAGACGTCTGGGACTGCAGCCGCAGGGAGCAGCGCGACCTTTAATACAGAAATAAAAAAAGAAAAACATGAGGAAATAAAGGTAGAAAAAAATAAAATAAGATAAGAGAAGTCATGTGTCATTTTCATAGATATACTTTGGTGTTGGAGGGGACTTTGTTGTATGTTTTTTTTTCTTCTCTTTTTGTGTGTGTGTGTGTTCTGAAAAAAAAATCTATGCAAATACTGATTAAATTCTCTAAGCTCCTGAGTGCCTCTGTGTTTACAGTAATTATGTTATTACACACGTGTTAAGTTAAAAATGCCTCGGCTTTAGAAGTGCACTCTCAGCAGATTCCTCTCACCCCCCTTCTTTTGCGGTGTGCGCTGCTCTGACAGCCACCCACACTGTCACGCTTTGTACATCGTTTTACTTTTTTTTTCATTTTCATTTACCCTTTATTTATACAAGTAGTCTCATTGAGCCACGAGAACTCATTTTCAAGAGAGACCTGTTTAGGGAGCAGATGGTGGGGGTTAAGGGCCTTGCTCAGAGGCCCAGGGTGGGGCAAATGAGGGTGGAGGGAGGTGTGGGTGTTTCACCTTTTCCACCCACATTTTGATGTTGACAGTACTGGGAGTTGAACCTGTGACTTTCTGGTCACAGGCCCATCTTCTAACCTCTGCGCCACCACTCCCCCCAATCCACTTTTACTTAATTTAGGACCGTCTCTGACTCTCATTCTACAAAATTTTTATTTTCCTGTATCTAGACATATTGTGGGAGTTCTGCTCTGTCAACTTCTTGCAGTCACAAGAGGGCACCATCTAGCCACACCAGTGGACTATTGCCTTGTTGAAATGCAGTAGTACAAAAGGCTGCAGAAGACCTCCATTCAGCACTGGAGCATTATCTGCCTAGTTGTGTTTCTGGCCCTTTTTGTATATTCTGGTGAAAGATAGCTTACCTTGTGTTCCTTCGTGTTTCCAGCATTTACTTCTGCTTCCTATGTGTTTCCTGGATCCTCGCTATAAGACCTCGAGCTCTCATGTAGAGCTGTCATTTCTAACCCAAGACTGAAGCCCGGCCTGGCCCGACCTGAATTTGGGCTGGGCTGGGCCGTAATAATGTGCTGGATGGGCGGGCCGGGTCGGTGTGGGGCATTTGATTGCGTCAGCGGATCAGCCGCAATCCAATTATGTGACAACATGGCTTGCCATACAATCACCAGCCGCATGCAGCCATTTGACCATGAGCTGACCGGCCTTGGAAGAGGTAAAATAAAGTTCAGTTAAGCTTCAGATTGTAACAACTGGCGGAACCCAGATTAGTACGAAACCAGAATGAAGCAGACTTAGACGTAGAAAAGGTAAC